ACATTAAGTATATATAGTAGATCACTTCAGACCTTACCATTTATCAGTTGATCTCTTAGCTTGTTATGTCAGCTATATTTTAAGTATCACAGGAAATCCTTTTCAAATTTTGTCAGAAATCAATAAAATTCAATCGGGTAAATGTTCCTTTAAAAAAAAACCCGTATGGAATCAAATACATCTTAAAACGCTTAAGTTTTATGTAGCTTAGCTTGTTGTTACTTATTATTTCACGTCAAAACCAAAGGCCACAGTGACTTAAATTTCTGTCCCTTTGAATAGAGTCTTTGTACCGGGGTATTTTGTAGTGAAGGCGTTTTGTGTCAGTCACCGCTAAAACGTTCCTCTCAATGTGTCTTTCTCGGCACTTTTATTTGGTCGTTTTCTTACAATGGCTCTAAAATGTTAAACAGTCACTTCCCTCTAAGTACTCGTTCATTATCTAATTAGATAAATTTAAAGAGGCAGGTTATCAACAATTTTTATATATTTTGTTGCTGAAGGATGACACATTCACTATAATTTCACGCTTTAAACAATACTGAGTTACTTGTATGCTAATCATAGTATGATTAGTAGTATTTTTATTGTCAGTTTCTTCTTACGTTTTTCTTCCTTCCATCTGTACATATCTCTAAATATTCGTTTCCTTTGAGTCTTACCCACCTCGATTAGTTTCATTATTGCTGGTCAGCAATTCGTATAGTATCATTTGTGAAAAGAAATAAATGTTTCCCGGTTGTTGTTGTGGCTCTTATTATGTTTTTTTCGAGATTATTATAATTGTACTCTTATTTCCTGTAGTATTTTTCATGCAAGTTCATTTGTACGCCTACACTTGTACATTGAACCTCCGGTCAGAAAAAAAATGACCGGAACTGGGGACTCAAAGGTCCGTCCTTGATGCAATATGGTCCGCGTACATATATTCCGCGTTCTTATAACGCCACCGCACATGTTCCGGGATAGCCAGCACTTCAGACAACCGATCCCAGTCACGAATATACATTTCTTATCGCCAGTCAGCTCTTCAAACACTCTCTAGTCTTTAATAATGGATATTTTAACATAAACTACGTAACCACTTTTTCGCATTGTGAACAATTTACTCATAAAACAAAATCATGTGATGATTGATCGATGACGTAAAACATTTCTTAAGTGAATAAGGCATAGGTCGCACTTGGAAAAAGTTTTCATCTTTGCCGGCTAAAAAACCACGAAAATTCGAAACCGCAACCGGAAAAGAAAACTCTCAGTCAAA